AGTCAGGCCTAGCTTCCAGCACACAGTCCCAGTTTATGGATCACCCATGGTCTTTGCTGGCCATTGCCTCCCCCAGTCCCTCCCCCAGCCCCTCTTCTGCTTCATGGCACTTTGATTTTCCTTCTTGGATGGCAAAGCAGGCAGCACCTTCTGGAAAGCTGACATATCGGGGCTGTGCATCATGGTGTCGGGTCCATCACCTTGGTCTGTAACATCTCCCTTGGGAGGGGGACTCTGCCAACAAGGAGAAGCTTTAAAATTAAGAGAGAGGCTCCTGGTGGCAGCAGGGGTGCCAAGAGAGGAACGCACGGGGAAGGGAATGGCTGGGCAGGGAGAGGGCAGGAGACAGAGGCTCTTTGCTCCATCTGAAAAAACGAGGGGGAAGGAGGAACCGAAAAAGCAAGATGTGAGCTTCAGCCACGCTCACTTTCCCCCTCCAGCTGGTAGCACCAGGGGACACGGTGCTACCGTGTGGCAGCCGGGATGTGCTGCCGGGGCGGGGGGCTCGGTTCCCTGGGAGAGGAATTACCCCCCCCCAAAACCAAAATTGCTGCTGAGGCAGCACCTGTTCCCAGTAAAGGCTCCCAGTATGAGCTCCCAGACTGGAAACTGGGTACCAGTTTGCAAATGACTGGGGTCCTGCCTGCCGCCGCCAGGTGGCATCAGGAACCCGCATCCAAAAGCTGGTGCTAAAACTCTTCCTTTTAATGGCTTTTTTTTTATGGTCTTGAGGATGGGAGCTGCCAGCGGCAGAGAAGGTGACACACTCCCTCATATAGTTGGGTGGGGAGAGGTTTTCCCAGAGGTGGGATTGTGTTTGATTATCGAAAGAGGATTACAAAAAAAAAAAAAAGAAAAAAAAAGAGCTGGAAAAGTTTCAGTTGATTGTTCTGCCTTCTGGTAAGCAGGCGAGGCTTGGCAGAGAGGGTGAAGACACCCTGGAGAAGTTTATTTGGGAAGGTCATCCAAGAGGAAAAGTCCAAGGAGGGGTGGGACAGTGATTGGAAATGGCATCTGGCCCTTGGAAGAAAATCAGGGTTTTCACCCCGATGCCTTCCTCGTGTCAGCTCACAGCCAGTGAGTCATTAGAGCCGTCATTAAAGCACCTGAGAGTGCTTTTCTTGAGAAGGTCAGATATAGGTAATGAGTAGGCACAGTGCACTCAGCTGGAAAACTGGGCTCCTCTTTGGTTTGAGAGGGGCATTGCCCTCTTTTCCCTCGGGGCACGGGTAGCATCAGTGCTCTGGGTGTGCACACACCCACACACGGGTTGCTCCCAGCAACACCCACACCCTGGCACCGAGACAAACCTTCTCCCTCTTCAGAGGCAGACCTTGGCTGGACAATTTCGGGTCTGCACTAGGTCCTGTGCTACATATTTTAGTTCAGTGTGAGCGTCCGTGTGACTTAGGTTCCCCATCCCTTTTGCTAGAGGAACTACAGGGTTGAAGGAGGTGGACACCTTCTTCTGACATGGGTCCTGGTTTCCTAGGCCAGCTCATGAAGCTGTTGGAGGTCCTCAGCCCAGCCCCAGCCAGGAGCAGGTTGCACCAGCAGATGCCCTGCTGTCCCCAGGGGGGGAATCCTGCCATTTTGTGCAGTTCTGTCCCCTGAAACCACAGCACCCAAGTCCCGTTGGCCACTGGAGAACGGCCGTGTTTGCAAAAGGCAATCAGAATGTTTGTGACTCTTGTTTTGCAGCTGCAGGTCATCTCCTTGCCACGCACCATCACCTCCCCGAGGAAGGTGCCGGAAAGCAGCTCGCTGCGCCACGGGCACCTGGCCATGACAAGCAGAAGGGAGGCTGCCGACAGGTTTCCCGCTTTCTGAGGAGCAAGAAATAAATCCGAAACGAGTCTCTGCAGATTCAGCCTTGAAATGAAGCCAGGGCACCTTCTCCATCTCACAACCTTGGACAATAGGCGTCCTTCCCCTTTCTCTCGTTTCCAAGCCACATCACAACCTCCTGGGAAATAAAATCACAAAGTGCCCCCGGGGGAAGCAGCAAAGAGGAGAAGAACTGGGTTTCCTTTACACCGCAGCTTCCAGACCCGTTTCCAGGTGCCCCAGCAGCATGTCCTGCTGCCAGGTGCTGCTGGATGATGCTTGAAGGGACGTGGGTACAGAATTTGGCAACACCTAATCTGCAGGCAAATTTCTAGGCAGATGCTACCCTGGCTCCAAGAGGGAAAAGGCCACTGACATCAGAGCCCAACCTGGTCACCACCACGTCATCAGCTTGGACCGAGGGCAGAAAACGAGCCTCAGATGCCTTTATTCCCCGAAACCCCAGAGCATCCTTGTTGCCATAGCGACACATCCCCCTTTGCCTTGCTCCTGATGTCAGTCTGGGGACCACTCCTCCTGCACAACAGGCGTGTGCACGCACACACGCGTGTGCACCGCAGGGAGCGAGGAGAAGTGGGGGGAAGAGGAGTGAGTGAGGAAGAGAAAGTGATCCTGTGGCTGGTGAAGGGCAGAAGAAACACAACTCCCTGCCTCTCCTGTCACCTCCCTTGGCAGCTTGGAGGCACTTTTATTCCTCCCAGCTTTACTTATTGATGAAGCGGGAGGGTCATCTCCATCCAGAGGCTCCATGCACACCCAGGGCTGAGGAGGGTGGGCTTCAGCCCAGGCTGAACAGCCCCCTCTTCTACTCCTCCCACCCCTCCAGGACCACCCCAAAAGCACAAAGGCACCCACACCCCTCTGGGGTGGGTGTCCCCCTCCCCACCGGCCTCTCTCTGCCCCCTTCTCAAAGCGATTTACCTATTAAGGATGTATTTTCACCAACATCTCCTTGGCGAAGGAGATCAAAGCAACAAAATCCGAGGCAGAACTCCCTGTTCCAATTGAAATAACAAATGAGGAGTTAAAAAAAAAAAGAATGCTTCCCCATGTTCCGAAACCCCGGAAAAACTCCTGCGGTGTGTGGCCAGCCAGACTTAGCTGCTTTTTTTGACGTGATTAACCTGACAGCCTACACAGGCCTGATCCTGCCAGCTCCAGCGTTTGCCTCGTTTAGGCAGAATTTGTGAGACGCCGCCCTTCACCCCGGCTCCATCAGGAGCCAGAGCCTCGGCAGGGGTGGGACTGGAGATCCCCTGCCCTTCCGCAGCTGGATGGCAGATTTGGAAGCTGCAGGATGCCCCCTGCCACCCCAAAAAGCGGGAGGATGGAGGGATGGATGAAGGCTCTACCATAAACACCACGGACGGCCTTCCTTGGGCTGATGTTTGGACGGGGCCACCAGCCCCACGCACCTCCAAGCGACACCTAGCAGGTCCCCAACACTCCCTCATTAATATATAATACATAGAGATATGTAAAGACATATAATAATGTCATATATTATATGAGCCACATCAAATATATGATATATATGACTATATATCATATAAGACATATCAAAAGTACCCATGCCAGTAGGTTTGCACGCACCCACTGTTGCTGCAAGCCTGGTGCTGGCACTCCACACACCAACTCCAACACATTACCTTCACTAATAGGAAGCCACTAACGAGCTATGCAGGTCATTGCACATGAACGCCAAGAAAACCTGCATTTTTCTTTATTTTTCTTTTTTTTTTTTTTTTGCCTATGCCACATGCGTAGCAGAAAAGCTATGCCAGGAATGTGAAAGAGTGCTGAAACTTTTTATGGGGGCTATTTTTTTGCATCTTTCTCTCTCTCTGCCTGCAAAGCCAGATGTCTTGCAGCTCCTCAGCGTCTAAGGTTACAGAGCTGCAAGGGAAAGGTACAACTTTCTCCACATAAGCCAGAATAGTCGTTTCTATACCATTTAATGCTCCAGACCCCTCGGGGACAGTGACAGCCCTGAAGCTCCTGGTCCACTCCCAGTAAGATGCTCTGACTCCCAGCCCACGCGTGCTCATCAGCATTTTTCTTTTTTTTTTTTTTTTGCCTATGCCACATGCGTAGCAGAAAAGCTATGCCAGGAATGTGAAAGAGTGCTGAAACTTTTTATGGGGGCTATTTTTTTGCATCTTTCTCTCTCTCTGCCTGCAAAGCCAGATGTCTTGCAGCTCCTCAGCGTCTAAGGTTACAGAGCTGCAAGGGAAAGGTACAACTTTCTCCACATAAGCCAGAATAGTCGTTTCTATACCATTTAATGCTCCAGACCCCTCGGGGACAGTGACAGCCCTGAAGCTCCTGGTCCACTCCCAGTAAGATGCTCTGACTCCCAGCCCACGCGTGCTCATCAGCATCAGCACCAGCACCCAGTGGTGTTGGGCCATCACGTAGGGCAAACCCACCCACAGCTCCTATGTGGGGAGAAAACAGAGTTTGGGGAGAAAATGGAGTTTGGGGAGAAAGGTGCTGGTCCTGTAGCCAGTTTTGGCCGAGGATAAGGAGAAAGAGCCTTCCCTCCTCTGCGAGGTGGTCACGGAGAAGACGGAGCCAGGTTCCTCAGGTGGTGGGAAGGCAGAGAGCTGGGATCACGTAGGGCAAACCCACCCACAGCTCCTATGTGGGGAGAAAACAGAGTTTGGGGAGAAAATGGAGTTTGGGGAGAAAGGTGCTGGTCCTGTAGCCAGTTTTGGCCGAGGATAAGGAGAAAGAGCCTTCCCTCCTCTGCGAGGTGGTCACGGAGAAGACGGAGCCAGGTTCCTCAGGTGGTGGGAGGGCAGAGAGCTGGGACAGGAGAAGTTCAGAGTAGATATAAAGAGAAGTGGATATAAAGAGTGGATATAAAGAGAACCTGGGGAGGTTGCGCCGGCTTCATCCTTGGAGCTTTGCAGGAGAAAGCCCTGACCACCCTGGTGTGACCCCACTTTGACCAGAAGCCTGGAGAGGAGCCCCAATCCCTACAGCGGTGCCCAGGAAGGGCACCTTGGCCATGGTGGGACACTTTCCCGGGTGGGGGGGTGTCTGTGTGCTAAGAAGCCCCCCTATTCCCAACCCCTCCCAGCTTGGGGAGGGGGGGATCCCGTCGGGCTGGGTCCGGTGACTCCCGGTTTTT